TTCTTCTAATAACGTTTTATGGCGGATGGCAAACCAACTTCTGGTGCATTTACCGCCACCAACTGGACTGGAGTGTTACGCACTAATAAGCAACTAATATATATAAAAAAACATTAAAAAACGAAATCCTCCTGATTAATCCTATTTCTTTAATGTATTTTATAATAATACCTGAGGGTCACCTGCTTCTTAATCATATGTAAACAGTGCAGCAGTAGCTCCACCCACAGTTACAAATAAACCAACTGCTAATCAATCATTAAAAGCAGTAAGTAAAATATGAAATCGACTATCTAGTGGGTCCATTCAGCATGCACGAGGAACTTTATTTTCACCTCTTCTCTTTTCTCCCAGATACATGACACAAATAATCATGCGGTGAATACGACAGACATCTGATAACTTATGCAGGACTTCTCCAATCATTTATTCCATTTAATCCCCGCCCCTGCAAGCTTTTGTTTATCTGCCTCCCTTTTGAGTGCAATGCTCAGATCTCAAAATCCAATCAACAACTGATGGATAAAACCAGCAACCTTATATTTTATTCTTTTTCAATAATCCATTACACTCAGATGGCTGCCACAATAAGATCTGTCACTACTTCCGTTTCATCATCAGAATCAGAATCAGAATCAGAATGAGCTTTATTGCCAGGTATGTTTACACATACGAGGAATTTGTTTTCGTGACAGAAGCTTCCACAGTGTAACAGAATGACAGTGACAGAACAAAAAAACATAGAAACAAGTAAATAAGGAATAAAAATATACAAATCGACAATTGTATGTACAGGTATATAACAATAGACAGTTGTATGTACAGGTATATAACAATAGACAGTTGTATGTACAGGTATATAACAATAGACAGTTGTATGTACAGGTATATAACAATAGACAGTTGTATGTACAGGTATATAACAATAGACAGTTGTATGTACAGGTATATAACAATATCTGTGTGAAGATGGGGGCCAGCTGGTCAGCACAGGATTTTAGACAGACTGGTGTAACACAATCTGGGCCTGATGCTTTTTTCCTTTTCTGCTTCCGGAAGACCTGGCGCACCTCGTCTTCGTTGGGTAGAGAGCGAAGGTTCGCCAGATGGATGCTAGGCAATGGCGTTCTGAATCCGCCCTGCCTGAGCTTCACGAGGGCGCTGGCTTGCTTCCCCCGTCTGCGCGTCCTGAAGCGCTTGATCAGTGCCGCAGCTCCCCCGACTACA